GTCCCCATCCGCGCTCGCTCCCTCACGGGCGCTGGGCAGCGCTGTTGGCGGATGGGAGGAGCTGGCCCCGCCCACAGACACGCCCCCACCCCAAATWTGGTCATATCCCGCCAAATTGCCCCTATGCCACGCCCCCTTCTCCATGGCCACGCCCCCTTGTCCCGCCCCTGCCCAACGGCGCCGGGGGCAAATTTGGGATATTTGGGGTCCCGCAGCATTCCGGGGGCAAATTTGGGATATTTGGGGTCCCGCAGCATCCCGGGGGTAAATTTGGGATATTTGGCGGCCCACGCAGCATCCCGGGGGTAAATTTAGGATATTTGGGGTCTCGCAGCATCCCGGGGGTAAATTTGGGATATTTGGGGTCTCGCAGCATCCCGGGGGTAAATTTGGGATATTTAGGGTCCCGCAGTATCCCGCGGGTAAATTTGGGATATTTGGGGTCCCGCAGCATCCCGGGGGTAAATTTGGGATAATTGGGGGGTCACGCAGCATTCCGGGGACAAATCTGGGATATTTGGGGTCCCGCAGCATTCCGGGGGCAAATTTGGGATATTTGGGGTCCCGCAGCATTCCGGGGGCAAATTTGGGATAATTGGGGTCCCGCAGTATCCCGCGGGTAAATTTGGGATATTTGGGGTCCCGCAGCATCCCGGGGGTAAATTTGGGATATTTGGGGTCCCGCAGCATTCCGGGGACAAATTTGGGATATTTGGGGTCCCACAGCATCCCGGGGATAAATTTGGGATAATTGGGGTCCCGCAGCATCCCGCGGGCAAATTTGGGATATTTGGGGGGTCCCGCGGCATCCCGCGGGTAAATTTGGGATATTTGGTGTCCCGCAGCATCCCGGGAGCAAATTTGGGATAATTGGGGTCCCGCAGCATCCCGGGGGCAAAATTGGGATATTTGGGGGGTCACGCAGTATTCCGGGGGTAAATTTGGGATATTTGGGATCCCGCAGCATCCCGGGTGCAAATTTGGGATATTTGGGGTCCCACAGCATCCTGGGGGCAACGCAGCTTGGGATTTGTTGGACAGAGGCGACATGGGGACATTGAAAAGGAAAAAAAAAGGGTTTTTTTGGGTTCSGTTCCTCTGTCTGAAAGTCTCATCTTCCCCCGGAAAGGGCCGTGCCAGCATCTGCTCCCAGGGGATTCCCAGCTGTGCTGAACCCAGCGCAGAGGAGAAATCATTTTAAATAATTAATAATTAATAAATGAGATAATAACTACAAGTATGTGCTCCCTCCAGGCACGGGGAGATGCGACAAGGTGACAGCATGATGGGACAAGGTGACA